GGCGCTGAAAGCACCAACCCATGCCAGCGCTGCAGATCGTACATTCATCGCCTCAATCACATGATTACCAGGCAACCGGACTGAACAACTTGCAAGACACTCGAAACATACTGCGTGGTTGCAGCTGGGACACATTCCCTGCCAGCCTCCGCAGGTCCTGGAAGCGCAAGGTGCACAGGATTTTGGTGTCAACATGGGTTCGGTGTCTTCAGATCAGAACGACAATCCATAGAATTTGAAGAGGTATCTTTGGGCCCCCAGCTAGCCTCCAGAACAGCACATCTGAATGATTGAATCAAGATATCCTAGTCCATTATATCCCCGGTGCGCCTGTGATACAGCCACGAGCATATTGTGAAGGATGCGAATGCATTCCGCGGCACCAAAACGCAAGGACACGCGTGTGTTACATGACCAACACAGGTTAGAAGGGGCCCCCACCCTGTAATAGTGACCATAAGGATTATATAGGATTATATTAGGGCCCTATTATATTCCTATTATACCACTATTACAGGGTGGGGGCAGCTTCTAAAACACAGGTGAGAACGGAGCCTACGAAGCTCGTCAGTACCACAACCCCGGTGTGACAAAACTAACTAGACTTGTTATTATATCATTGGTATGATTATTGTTATATTTTTTTTAACCGAAGATGCGCCTCAAGTCAATCTCAGTCGGTTTCGTCAGCAGATTGCAGCAACAACGCAGCCAGCAGAATGAGTCAGCTTGGGACTGGTGTCGCTTTAAATTATTACCAGCACTTTGGCTGGTAAAGTAAATTGAAATCGATGTCAGAGTGAATTAAACTCTTTCGGACCCTTGAATCTCGATGAGCCAAAACTGCTGGCAGCCACTTACCCCCAAACCATGAGATTCAGTCATATTTAGAACCCAGGGTGTCCCAGATGCATAACGAAACCCTCGAGCTACCTGAGGCTTGAAGTCTCACTAACCAGGATCTATAATAAAGCCTGCCGGTCAATACCTGAGTGTGACCTGGTCCATAAAAAAAACCAGTCGAAGAGCTTTCAATATCGGGTTACAGCTACATAGGCAATTTGCCAGCAGCCATCATATAGCTATTTAGGCAACACAAGGAATGTCAAGCACAACACAACAGATGTCGGGCACACCATAACCACCTCCCAAATCGACAATACCCAGAACTTTCTCGCAAGCCACTACCGAGCCCGGAATTGAAGCTTTGACCCCGACTCGACCCCGAGGCTTCCGAGGCCCTCTGAAGATACCGGAAACACGAAATTATGCCCTGCAAGCCCAACCGTGAAAAGACCTCGAAAACTATGCTGCCAATACGAGAACTCTAAATGAACCTAACCCACCAATCAGCCGACTTCATCCTGTTTCAACTATCCAACCACCGGCCCAGCCCTATGAACTCTCAAAGTCCACTCGAGACACGCTGAACACAGACTAAATCACAGAAAGCTGGCTATCATGCCATCAAACCAGGAAGACCCGGATACCCGAACAGCCGAACCCTGAATGCTGCTTCCAGAGCGCAGGACGATGCCGTGAAAACCAAAGGATGAACTAGCAAAGCTTCGAAACACGATTTGGACTATTATGTCAACCGGGGTCCAACTTAACGAAGGGAAACCCCTGTCTCAGAAACCCAGGAAGCTACACACCACCAGAACCATGGAGAATGACAGAATGACACCGCGTAGCCAGCATCATCTGACTTAAGTTCATGAAAGACACATGCAGAGTTGCCTGCGAGAAGCAACCACCACGGTAACTGCAATCATAGCGGCCTTACTTATGTCGGGTATGCTGCCACGAACGAATCTTAAGCCTATGTTATCTACTACTTATTGACCACAGATCACACTCGAAGCATAGCGTCACCGGTCGACTGATAATCCACCCGAGCACTACAAGATCGGCCCACTACTGTGCACATTAAGTCGAAGCTACATACATTAATACCCGTGCCACAATTCCGCAAGCACTGAAACTCACCGAATCCGGCTGATTAGGAATACGACCCCGGTCCTTGTCGGTCAAACCATAGAGGTTGAGCTTGGACACGTCGAAGTTTTGAAACATCAGCATCTCCATGCCTGCGCGCAACCATGAGCATTTCTGTATCCAAGCAACTTACCACTGCACAAAGACACTTGATTCCTGGCCTGTCAAACACCGTCCACGGTGAAGCATATACATATTGCTGGAGGGCGTCAGGCATGGGATCCATTTGTGCTGCAAGTGCATGCGGTTGATCATCTGGCTGACGTTGACGATCGAGGGCCGCCTTTCCCCGTGCAATGTCCCCAGGATATCGATTGCCTTAGCTGCCCCAGTCAAGAGTGAGTGATTGATTCCAAACGACTTGCAATGCATCGTAACAGTCCGGAGTACGTGCTGTCTCCTCTGGTCCGGAAAGGCTTGTCGGGCGAAGTCCGATGTAGCCAGCTTCCTCGGGTTCACCTGGTGGAGAGTGGTGCAATGTGGGGAAGTCGGGAACTCCTGCACTCGGGCCTTGTGGTCCTTCATAAACTTGAAGTGAATCGCAGGCCATCGTAGTCCCGTACCATGAGGCCTCAAGAGCTCTGACCGGAATTGATTGGGGGGTGACATGACGACAGGTGTCAGGACATGCAGCACTTAATCAAATGCAAGGCCGAGCGTCAAATAGCGCAAATCCAATTGGGTTTGCCTCCGTCTCTTGCTCGGCGCCTCCTGGACCGCATCGGAGTCGTCCAATAGAAGTTCATGCCAGGGCGTCGGCGGGGTGCAGTTCCTCTTAGCCTTTGCGAGGATAGCGTTCAAGGCCTTCTGCAGCTTCGCATTCGAAGTGATTTCAGGGGCTGCGAGGCTCCTGCACTGCATCGTGGGATTTATGGAATGGGTCACTGTCGCACATGTTCGAGTTTAGGGGAAATAACAAGATGATGCATGCAGTGTCCTCAGAACACCGATGAAATACAGCCGGGGTCTGCTCACGACATCCCCAATCTCTTTGCTGTCAATCTCCATGATTGCATGATAGTAGTCCCTGAGCTTTCCCAGCTCATCGTTCACGGCTCCGAGGCATTTTCGTATCCCCTTCACATTCTCCAGGATATAGATGGGCACCCGAAGCCTCAGCACACGCTTCGCTTGTCGTTGTTACCGAATTATAAAGGCAACCAGCTAAACCGAGCCAAGGGACTCGCCGATGGTCTTCACGATGGCGAAAAAAGGCCGTGCAGCCTGTGGGCTGCCCGACAGCATCGCATCTCGATAGAAGAATGCTTCAGCCTAGACTTGCCCCACCCATACACTAGAATTCCGAGTCCTCTTCGTCGAGAAGATCGCTGTCTCTGCGAAGCACACTGAACCTGAATCCGATTCACGCTTCATGGACGGCTGTTAATTGAGACATGCTACCGACATGTCAATGTTGCAACAAAACAGGCTTCGACCAAGCAGCGGTTGGCACGGGAAGCCGGCGATGAGGGCGCCGCATCGGTAGTTTTCGAGCTGCAGCGTCCGGTTACAAACATCCGGGTAGAACCTTATGTGGCAAGCAGCTGGAGGGTCCCTCTGGGAGTTAGCAGAGTGCCACATTTATACACCCCTTACAGTAGCACAGCAGAACAAGACTGAGGCATGCAAAGTAGCACACGCGGCCGGAAGTTGTGAGCGATGAAGTCAGTTGCAACGCAGTTGATCTCGGAGGAGCTGATGTGGTCTACCTTAGCAATGGTTCGTCATTATTTGGATGTGATTGTTATGTGACTGCAGCACCCATTTCAGACTACATCTTCCTGGCCTTGATCCCCAGCGCCTTGAGAGCAAGAAGTCCGCCTTCGGCTCCAGAGCCTCAAAATCGGTGAATGAGTGTTGCAAGCAGCCCTGACGAAAACAGCAACCATTTAAACCCGGCAGCACTAAAGTGCAACGTGCATGATACCGCATACAAGGCACAATCGGACATCACCGGGAAGTCGTAGTTCAGGAATTTTTTCACCCGTCCCAGCATGCCTGGGTGTATTATGCGGCTTTGCTGATCAGTATGAAAAGAGCTCGCACCGGTATGCACAATGTAGCCGAGTGACCAGTGCGGCACAACATCGAGTTTCCCCATCCAGAAACATAGTGTCGCTGCGCACGGTTCAGTCTCTGGGACTGCACCGGGTCTCGCCTAAGCCGAAGCAAGCAATCAATGTCAGGGATTTTTCTTCCAAGGTCAATGTTCAGAAATTCAGAAAACACATCGTAATTGAATTGCTGAGTGGCTTTGCGCGCTCACAAGCCTCATCCCAGTCTGGTAGAGCAACGTCACTGGAGCTGGAGTCGAAGCATACGCTGTACTCTGAGTACTCGCTGTCCGAAGTGCCACTGTAGCCCGACCCCGAAGTCCCTGGCCCCTCCACGTCTGTAGACGTCGTTTCTGACTCCGAACTCTCTAGCGCATCCAGGTCTGTAGGCTCCGAGGAACTCGACATGGCGAGGAGGTTTCTAGCTTATGCAATCTATGGTGGTGGTATCTAGCTTTCGCAGCCTAGGGTATGCAAGGAGGTATCTATAGCTCTCGCAGCCTAGGGTATGCAAGGAGGTATCTTGCTGTTGCAGCCTGTGCCATGTAGCCGAAGATCACTTTGCAACCCATGTTTTGCGATCTGTAGTAGTGCGATGATAAAATGCGAAGTGTTCCTGGAACTTGACCGCTGTGCCTGGAGCACACATGCCTCTCGGCCGCTCGCTTTCCCACAACCTCAATGTCAACCTCAAGCTTTAAGCCCCAAAACCCACTATATTGTAAACCCTCTCAAACCCTTTTAACAGAGTCTCGGTTATGGCTGGCCTGAATCCCGGTTTAGACGGCTGTCCCCTCAGACCCGAAAATGTGGAAGGCTTTAAATCTTCGAACAAAGCTTTTAAATAATTAGATTCTGACGAAGGGAAAAATCCACCTGGACTGGACCATAAGAGGATATCGTTATGCTCAGACTCCTATACTACAGCCTGAACGAGAAAACTGGTACCTGCGTACAGATGTCCCGCCGCGGGTCGAAGCAGAAGAGGACCTCCTCATGAGTTCATAGAATGTCGAGCTCAGAGTTTAGGATTTGATCACCTCCCCAATTGATGAAACACCCGATAAAGAATCAAAGCTTTTTCCGGGAATCCTCCCTGAAATCACCCCCCGCCTGTTGGAAACTTCGTGGGGGTGTAAGAGCAGAGCAAGATCAAGAGCAACAGCCGAAGCAGGGGCAACAGCAAGAGCAACAGGAGCAGCAGCAAGAGCAAGAACCCCGGAGGGAGCAGGAGCAAGAGCCGCAGCGGGAGCTGCAGCAATGGCAGGAGCAAGAGCTGTCATCAGCATACCCTACAACCCCAGACCGCACAAACCCAAAACACCAAAGCATCAAAGCATGTTTGAATTGACCGCGAAGAACTCCATTTTCAAGCTTTGCCTTTTTCTGGAAAAGATCTGTCTATTCTTTATTACTGGAGCTCTGAAAAAGACAGCCCTGAACCTGAAAAACCAAGCACTGAACCCAAACCCTGAACCCCAAACCTAAACCCTAACGATCCCCTCATAAATCTCTTCCAGGAAGCCTAAAATCCGTTGCACATCCCTTGAAGGGAACCTTAAAGGAAGCAGACCGAGGTGATCCTCCTCCTCCACCTTGCCGAAGTGGAACCTGCGAGGTGAGGTCGTTGGGTTTAGTATTTCCGTAGTAATCAGTCAGAAGAATCGAGGGTTCCTTCTAATGGTTCCATTAAGAATTTAGGGTTTAGGGTGGAGGGCTTCGCTTAACTTGAGGGTTTATAGGCGGTATAGGGACCTTAGCAAGTAGAAGATGGTTCCTTCTGAGGGCTCCCTTAAGGGTTTGGGGATAGGGGCCTTAACAATCACAAAAGAATTCCTTTTAAAGGCCTACAAGGAGGTTTAGTATAAGGGCTTCTACTGAATTCGTAGGGCTTTGGGGGGGGTGCCCTGCTCCACGCTAAATCCTGAACCTTGTATTCAGGAACCCTAGGCCCTAGGCCGTGCCCTATGCAACTGAGACCCGTGGGTGTGCGGGGTTTTAGGGACTTGATCCAGGTTGCTTCAAAGGTTCCTGGAAGGGATCTATAAGGCTTAGTTGCTGAGTGCATAAGCCCCAAAAAGTCTACACTTTCAGTTTTATAGTGGGTAGTAGTATCCCACAAGTGTATATAAAGTGTATCCACTCAGCTACTAAGAAGGGGTACTCAAGGGCTTGGGGCTTTAGGGCTTCGGGTTTAGGGACCTACTGTTCTTGGATTGAGGGTCCGGGCTTTAAGATTAGGGCTTTAGGTGCACGGCCCTGGGGTTTAAGGACACAGGGTTTGAAGTCACAAGGCTGTGTGTAAAGAGATCTCGAATGTTAGGGGGAAAGGTAAAATCTTTGCATGAAGGGGCATTCTCTAGGTTTAGGGCTGAGAGCTGAGGGTTTGTAGTAACAGTAACCCCTATAGTGACCCTTACAATAGCCGTTTTTCTCTATACGCAGAAAGCCTAAGACTGAACCCTAAAGCCTAACGAAGGTCTTCTTTACGGCACCTCCGAAACTGAACCCTCAATCCCTGCTAGATCCCCGCCCCCGGCGGTGGGAAACCTCGAAACGGGGGTAGGGTTTAGGGGTTTAGGGCTTTTGTGAAGTGCAATAGCCTCTTTATCCGCAAGGGTTTAGGGTTTAGGGACTTGCAGTCGGAAACCTCGAAACCCAACACCCAGCAACGCCAAACCTTGAGCCGGACAGCCCAAATGGGTGGTTGTCAAAATTAGGGTCCCTTTTTGGGTCCTTATTATAGTACGGCACCTAATATTTAGGGTACCCAAAATGGGGCCATAATTTTGACAACCACCCAAATAACAGCACAGCGAACCTCGAAACCCGAACCGAAAGCCCCCAACTCCCAAACCCGACATATCGAAAACCCACAGAGCCCTACAAACCGGAAGCCCTAGAGACCTCAGCAGGAAGAGGGTTTAGGGTTCAGGGTTAGGGGTTTAAGATGACCCTACACCCAAACCGAGAAACCCTGGGGCCTCTCACCGTTGAAGGGCAGCCGCGTGGAGTTCGCCCCGAGGCCCAGTGCCCGCTTCTGACTGCGGCCTATTGGGGTTTTAGGGCTTATTGTTTAGGATGTATAGGGTTCAGGGTTTTGGGTTTAGGGTTTGGGCCTGGCTTCGAGGTTCAGGGTTTACCAGGACCCCGCAACGGCCCTTTAGTGGAGCCCTTATGGTCCTTACTAGTGGGTATTTAGGGCATGTTACAGGGTAGTTGGGGGGTCTAAGTAGGGATCGGGGTTGTAGTAAGTTTCATTTAAGAGCTCCTCTAACGTATCTACAAGGGCTTGGGCTTTGAAGCTTTGGAGTTTCGGCTTCGAGGATTTATGAGGGTAGAGTTCTTTGGGTGTTTTTTTGGGTTGATTCAGCGTTCAGGGGTTTGGGGTTTTCAGGGGTTTGGGGAGTTAAGGGCATGGGTTAGAGTTTAGGGTGTACGGCTTAGGGGTTCAACGTCTAGTTTAGGCTTCAGGGGTTTAGGCTTCAGAGTGGCGAAATGAGTCAATACCACTCGTGGCAAAAATTATGGGGTCTTGTTGCAGGGTGATACGAAAAGAGTTTGCGCGTTTGCTGCTGTAGGTTATTGTGTCAATTCTACAATGGTTGTGCTGCATGACTTCATAACGCTAAAGGCTTTTCGGCTTGAGTTTTCAGGGTTTGGCTTCCCAAAACAAGTTAAGGCTTCGAGGACTGGATTCCGCAGTCTAGAGCATCAACATGGCTTCAGCTACGTACTATCCTAGACCCAAAAGCCTAAACCCAAACCGCAACCCCCCAAAAATCAAAGCCCCAAACCCTACACTCGAAACACCTAGTTAGCTATATACTCTTCTATATACATATATACAAGATAGATATGGACATACATATTATATATATATATATATTCTTTTTCAATATACCTTGTACACTTCTGACGGTCTCTCCAGCCTGGCGCCAGCTGCGCCACGAAACCGAAGGATCCTCCCAGCTCCTTTTCGGATTTGTTATTTTTTGGATTTAAGGGTTTAGGGCTTGGGGTTTAGGGTTTAAGGGTTGATAAATTTGTTGATCGGGTTTAGGGTTTACCACCTTAATATTTAGAGTAGAGTTTGGGTGTAGTATTGTTCTACCAGGACAATAACTGCGATTCCATCGTTCATGGGCTTTACGGTTTTGAGGTTTGCAGTTCCCCTAAAGCCTTAACCCTTGACCCTAAACTCTGAAACCCCCAAACCCTGAACCCCAAAGCCTTATGTAACCCTAAACCCTCAACCCTACTTGTCGAGTATCCTGGGGAACCAACAGTTAACCAGTACGCCGAAAGACCCTAAACCCGAAACCGCAACAAGGTTAAAGGCAACCTACTCCTATACCCCCCGTAGAACCAGTAAAAGCACTACTTTTAATATTCTCTTGGGTTTTATAGGATCCAAAAAAGAATTCCTAATGAGACTATAGACTCTATGACTCGGCTTGAAAACCTATTGTAAGTGCTTTTAAGTAACCAGGGAGAGAAAGGTATAGACGTTTATTTCAGAATGGTTCCTTTGCGAAAAAAGTTTTGAAAGTATGGTACTCCGAAGGCCAGTACTTTACTACTCTGCTTGAACCGACCCTGACCTGGCCTGGATCGACTGGCGGAGTGACTCCTCCTCGTCTTGCTCAGGATCTGGTGGCCAACGGACGATGCCTGCAAAAGAAACGATTCTTAGGCGGCCTTAGGGTTTAGGGTTTTAAGGTTCAGGGTTTACGGTTTGAGGTGTCGATTTCAATAGTCCAAAAGATTATTCTAAATTAGGGCTCTACTAGGATACCCAGTAACCTAAGAATAAAAAGGCCTCTCTTTTTGGTATTGGGTAACTTTATAAGGAACCTAGGACTACAAAAAGGGAATAAGGGTACTACTGGGCATCCTAGTCTATATTAAAAAACAATATGTGAATTAAAACTTATCCAAAATCAATACCTAGACGAGCTCAGAACCGATCACGAAGCATAACCCCAAACCCCAAAACCCTGAACACCTAAACCCCCTAAGCTTCCTGATGCAAAACCACACAACCGCTAGCTTCTGAACCCTACACCAATCCAAATTGGCGTGGTTTTTCGGAGCTAGGATTAGGGAGACCCTTGGGGATATAATACAGTCCCTTCTAAAATAGCCAGAAGCCGGGTTAAGTCAGTCAAGAAGGGTCCCCTTCAAGTGGTCAGCAGACTAGGAATAAGGTCCATGGAAGACGAGGATGCAAGACTTGAAAGACTGCGTGGGATGGCGTTTGATATAGCCTACGCCATCACGAATCTGTCATTTCGCTCCCAAGTACTACCTAGGAGTCTTCCTTCTTAGGCTAGTCTGCCGCCTCGGCCACGCCGTTCCTCCCAGCTGGAGGCCAGGAGGTCAAAGATCGGACCGCCAGCCTTTTAGGGGCTTAGGGTTTAAGGTTTATTTGGGTTTAGGATCTGGGGATTAGGCGTTTGGGGTTTGGGGTGAGGGCCTTAATTAGGGGTTTATTTGGGGTTTAGGTGTTAGGGTGAAGGGGTGTAGGGCTTGGGGTTTAGGGGTCTAGGGTTTAGGGTTTTGGGCTGCGAGCTGTGAATGCTAAAGCCCCGCTCACCGCCAAACCTGATACCTTGAACACAATAAAGCCTTGAGCTTCACCTAAAACCCATAAGCCCCTGAGACCTAAAAACCTGACAACATCAAAACACAGAGCGCCTCTGCTGCTTGGAGGAGCCCCAACCCAACAGCCAGCCCCCGCCGCGCGCTTCGGGCCATTGCCACGCCGAAAGGTTCAGGGTCTATTAGGCTTTTGAAGGTTCTTGCTAAGGGACTTCATTCCCTAAACCTTAGGCTCCAAACCCTAAATCCTGAACCCTTCCGGGTTCGTAAACGGTGTTCGTATGAGTTCTACTACTCTTGTGTCGAATCTTTTGACTTACATCAGCCTGAAGTTTAGGGGTTTGCGGTCTGCAGCTCCGGGGGATTCGGCTTGGGACTTTGGAGTTGGTCTGGTGTGTCAACCTACGGGGGGGTGTACAAGGGAATCCCATTGCAACTTACTGCTTCGCAACACTATCTTCACTGTTTTGGCAGGTTTCGGATCGGGTTCCGGGAGCTCTTTGTCAAGTCCAGCAAGAGCTGCACTTCACTGAAGCATCCGTGTCTACTTCCTGAACCCTCTACCTGCTTCTGAAGGCCTCTCGGCAGCTTTCAAGCTTGAGGTTGCGACATACAGCCTGATCTTGGGACGTCCGGCTGGGCTGCTCCGGCCGAATTGCGACCGACATGAACGGGTTAGAGACAAAAAGACATTTGAGGTTAAGATAGCTCCAGATGTTTATGGTTGCGAGCTTATGGCTTTGAGACTCTCGGGGTTTTAAGACTTAGGGCTGTGGGGCTTTCGGGCACACAGCTTGCCTAGGCCAAGCGGCTAGACTTTACCAGGATCCCATATATCTCCTGCTCTTCTACGTTTACACAGTAATTTTCGCAGGAGAACGAAACTCTGACTCCAATCCTTAAGCCCTTTGTAAGGGAACCTCTCCTTCAAGAAACCCCCCTTGTTAAAGACACCCCACCACACACGCCCAAAATGGCAGAGGTACTGCTACGTTTCTGTTCGGGTG